AGTTAACCACTTAAAAATAAGCGCAGCAGTTTTCTTTTTGAAATTTCAAACGCGATATTTTCTCGACGTGAGCATTCGGTAGAAATATTGTTAATCTGAAAAATAAGGTGAAAAAGAACAGTCAAAAAAAAAACCAACGATGCGTTAAAGTCACGAAAGAACGATCGCAGGCTTATCTCCATTGTAGTCGGTTGGTGGCAAGCAGACGAATAAGACTGAGTGTCGAATGAGATTATCGTTATTCGCAAGAGATTCTCGTTACTTGCTTTGAGATCGATGTGAAAAATATGACCATCCTATTCTATTGAATCTGATCCAAGAGAATACCCAACTACAAAAATATCAAACGTCCAATCAACGGCTAATTCCTCGACTCAATTGCCATCAAGGTTGCCCAGCCTGAACAACCCAATAAACTCATTCACTCGCTCTCCAGTTCTTGAACTCAAAACGTATATGTCCGTTGCGAGTTTGAAAGCGATCGCCTGAATTTAAGAGAGGGTTTAAGATGGGTTCAGTCGACGAGATGAAAACTGTCAAAAGTCGTTGAAGCAGCATGAGATCCAAACTGGACAACAAATCATAAAATCTAAGCGAAGATTTTCCACAGTGCACCATATGTGTTGAAATATGCCATAATCAAAGCAGATTTGCTTTCAGCATACGGACTGTGGAATGAAACTACGGGGACATATTCATACATATATCTGAGCAGCTTCATCGTGAAAATATTGAATAAACCATTAGAAGATTGCATAAATCTTTGTTGAAAATTCATGATATAATATTCTCAACATTTACAACACATCACAGCTGACGTTCGAAATCGTTGTTTAGTCAATGTGCTCAAAATCGCTTGCTTAGCTTAAAATTCGTTCGCTTCAATAAATCGTATGACTGGATAGGTTCAAAATTGAAATAAAGGATAAGGATATTATCGACGATTCATTTCATAAAAGAGACCATGACTTTCAAAAATCTAATGGATGTTTTTCCGAAAAACAGTTTATGCTTTCAGTAAAAATAGTAAATGTTCATTTCACATATCATTTCCCGTTTAAATTATCAGCTTTTGACAAGCAAAACAAACCCATTGGAAATATCGCTCGCTGATGCAAGAAATGATGAC